TCAAAAGAGTTGGTGACATACTCTAGCTTGGCTGTAAATTAGCAGAAGTATGTTATTGTTGATGGAGTGTTTCTCCTTGTTTGCTAGAGACTTTTCAAAGGTTACGTTTTTCAGTTCATGAAGATATAATAAAGCTTGTGCATGACATAGTTTATACTACTGGTTTCTTCAGAGTTGCTTGTATCAATTATCGTTCATTTAATTTATAATCCTGTGATCAGAAACTGCGCCATTTGGTTTGTTTTCAAGTGTTTTTTTGATGGAAACTGTGAAGTGTAGATACCAACCACTCGTCCAAAAATTAAGAGTAGCAAACAAACAAATACTATTCCCAGCTCAGCTAAAAACTGTCGATCGCCCCGAGAAGATATCTTTTTAGGTTTGTTTTTGTATGTCTCATCGGCTGCTGAAGTATGTGGAAGGATGAAAAGGAACACGCTGGCCACTGAGGATATGAGAACAGACCGAGTTGGGATTTAATGAAGCTTATTACATTCTACCTTTGCGGGAATTTTTGGACGAAATACCATGGTGTTACCATTTTAAAAAAGCCTCAGTCTAGCGGTAGTTTTGCGTTGTACCGTACTTTTTTAAGACTTTTGTAAAGTTACGCCAATTTCTACTTTGTCCACGTGTTTAAAATGAAATAAGAAATAACCCGTTTACAGACGTTTATTGATAATGGAGAGCAGGCGAAAGATAAACCGAGCGAATCTCCCGTCTTTTTTGTTTGTTTGTTAGTTTCTTTGTTTGCTCGCTCTATTTTTCGCCTGCACTTATCTATCTGAACGCCTGAAAAAGGCGGAATGATAGTATTATTTGTGAAAGTATTTAAGAGCTTGATGACACTTTCCGTTATTCGAGATTTAACCTTAATTCTAGTCGTTTGCAATCGATTATGTTACAACTGTGAACAAATTAATATTTTAGAGATCGCAATTTTTTAAACATAATTTTATGCACTGAAAAATCGATCAAGGGCATAAAAAAAGAGGTCGTTCAACCAGTTTCAGCTTTCAGTGTCAAAATCATTTAATTTCATTATTTTATATTTCTGTTTTATATTATTTCAGATTTCAAGGTCCGTATCACTTCAAGCTACCCTTGCAGGCACAGTAGTATCGGTCCTCGAGCTAGGACCAATCTTTTGATAGGAGCCACCTTATTCGATATCTAGACTTAATTTGACGATACACCTGAGATTCACACAAATGGACGATAATGCTGCCGAGCTTGTTTACTTTCAACAGCCCTCCAAAACACTTTGTATTAGTTGCACAAAGAAGATCGAGGTGAGGCGAGATCTCGGTCTCACGAATCATTTCAGTCAGCTAGACTCAGACTGGAAACTGACAGAGAACTAGATAGCGGGTGTTATGTTCTACTACTTCTCTCTTTGAAGAGGCTAGCTTATATCCATGTTCAGGTTTTTTTTTTATTCCCGCGAGACTTAACTACTCAGTCACTTTCATACGTTTCGCACTACCGTTCTCGCTCAGGCTAACAGCGACATACCTGATCGCCATTAAAATTTTCCTGGTTTACCCCACGAGGAAGGACCACGTGCTTACGCCGAAACCCGGCATATCAGGCCGTAAAAATGAACTCCTCACCAGTTTCCTCACTAGGTCTCATAATTGTGTTTTTTATTCTCTTACAGGTTCAGGGGAGGTTATGCGCGTTGCTCCTCAAACGTTAGAATTCTGAGGAAAAATCAGTCTCTTTTTCTTTAGTTTTTTACAAACTGTACTATTCGGTCCGAGTCAGGTCGATTAATGTGGAATGTTTTCTGACGGAAATTAAGAAACGTCCTAAGCGCCCAATGTCACTTTGGAGATAAACATGTCGGACCGCAAAAATAAGAGAAATTCTTTTAAGTAAGGACTAAAGCTCACTTCGTCCTAAATAGCTATAAGGATAAAACTTCGTTTGGTCTGTCAATATTAGGCTTAAGTCAGCTGTTAAGTACTGTCGAAGGTCAAATATTGAATTGATAAACCAAGTGGCGACACGGTGAACCGTTTTGTATAACGCTATTGTACACTGGCATTTTCAAGAGCTCCATTGAACAAATTTGGTTAAAGCGTGTGAAGTGTGCAATGGGTACTCGAAGATGCATAAGTTTGTAGGCTTGGAAGATGAGATACTAGTCGAGGAATAACAACCACACCTATTAAGAGTCATGGCACTGTAACATCAGCTGGTCATCGACACATCTTTGATACCCATTTTGTACGTTTTGTTGAAACCTACTATGGGTAGCTTCGCAAAAGGACTCCCATCAAAATGTACATGTCCTTCGATCAGGCTATTAAACGTATCCGGCTTTGCCTTGCACAGTGCAACATCCTAAGTTAAAAATCTACCGTCGCTAGCTTTTTTGGTGAATTTTAAAGATTTGCACAAAAAAATCCTTAACCCAATTAGTTTATTCCTACACTTAATTGTGCTCTTTTTGTGGTCTTTGTGGTGGACTAGACGGCGATAGACCAATAACATGATGAGACTTGAAGAGTGACTGGTCTACTACAATGTATTAAAAGCACTCGGCGTAACAAGCAAGGACTGGCAAGCCTTTTCTCAGGTGTGATGTGAGCTTTCTCAAAAGAAATTGCTACAAAAATAGACTACGAGTAGTCCCCTATTTTTCCTCAGGGATAGCAGGGCCCTGAGGAAAAATGGGGGACTACTCGTAGTCTACTACAAAAATAACTTCGTCCTTTTTATTATGCTTTACAAGATGACTCTTACTTTGATACCGTGAGGAAATTCTAAAAGGTATGACCAGTCAAATGAAGGTAAATGAAAGCGATTAAGAAATGCTTTGCAATTGCACAGGATATTTTAGTTTTTGAAGTATGTGTGGATGACTGAATTCTGAAGTGTGACCCTTCAGATGAAAGCTACTACGCAGTAAGCTTCCCTGTGGTGCTGTTTATAGTGCTGCGTAGCTGTAGACGATAAGTGAAGTTCTGAAGCTTGAAGAACGGGGAAGATTGCATAAAAAGCCTGCGATACTAGACGAAAAGGCTACCTGATTATGATAAGTCATCTAAAACGATGTAATTTTGTCTCGGCCTTGGAGATATTTGGCACAAATGCCTTTACAGAGGTTAATCCTCTATGCCATGATTTATGTGCTGTTGAGAGTATAACAAGGTCAATTAACCATATAACAGCGATTATTCCTCTTCTGAGCCGGAAACTTTTTGTAGAGTCCTTAAAATCCCATAACATTCACGGGAAAAATTCCAGAATATTTGCAAACAATAGAACATTGACGAGAAATTTTTTTTCTGCCACGGGAATTTCCTCCAGGGTAAGACTGGATTTGATTGCAAAGGGGCCGCAAATTAAGCGTTCTTACTTTGTCTCTCAACAACCCTTCAAGATAATCAGTACAATTATCGAAACGCTCCTTTGTAAATGACATTCAGCCAAATTACAACGTTCCCATTGGCTATCCCATGACTCGATTCCAGGTTTTAATAAGCGCGATATCATCAGGTCGGCCGGTGTATAAATCTTCGTATTCTCCTATCAGAAGGTCATTTGTATCCATTTGTGAAGTAATTTATCTCGTAGGTGTTAACGTTACAGAAGACCAGTGATCCTGTTTGCCCTACCCTATTGTAGTTATAAACGGATCGCTGTCAGTGCAAGGCCAGACAAAAAAAATTACTGAATATTTCAAGAATCTTTAACCCAAGGTAAGTCTTCCCAATTTTTCAATTTTCGAGCTCCGCTTGAGGTGCACGAGTTTGATTAGAACGTACGTGTTGCGCAAACATCCAAGCGAAGCTAAACCTTGTGTTCCACACCTGTTGGTAGGTAACGGAGGTTTGCGACGAAAGAAAGAAATGCGATTCGCCGCCATCCTGTACGTGTTTTTTGTGGTGTTGGATTTAACCAAGATGGCCTCGTCGGGCAAGAGGCTATCACTCGCTCGCCGACGAAATGCTTTTTCTGTGGTAAGAAACGTTTTCAGTCATATTTACGTTTTTCAAATCACCCAACAAAAACAAAACATTAAGGCACAAAACCTTGCTCTAGTAATTTGTTGATGAAGATGTAATACACACAAACTACATTATCTTCACCCTGGCTATTTGCCCCAAGCGTCGTATCTAACCTCTGCGTCTGTGTGATATAAACCAGTCACAGACTTCCTTTTTAGTCCAAGTAAGGATATTATCAACAAAGTCAACAAACAAGTTATTGAGTGTTTACTCATTCAACAAAAATTAACAATGAAATGCGGAAACCACTTGTACTTTAAAAAGTAGATTTAAATTATAGTTAACATCGCGGGTTTTATGCGTAACTATGCCACGATCTCTTGTGTGTGCAAAAAGGTGTCAGAGAAAAAAATTGTTTCCGGGAACATGATTTCCTGTATGGTTTTCCTTTTTAGATTTACACGAAATTCACAGACTCGAGAGTGCTAAGACTGTTGTGAAAAACATCCATGCACAGTTTGGCATGATGACAAACACAAAAATGTTGGCAAATCATACATTTCTGACTCCTCCCAACCAATTACTAAGCTAACCACCATCTTTAAGGTAACTGTTATCGCTAATTTGTTGGGCGGTACTTAAAAGAACCGATGGGGCCCCACGACGATGTAACAAGTACACGTTGGCCACGCTTCCAGTATTTAGTCATCTTATTTTGCGGCTTCCTTAGGAAAAATAATTGAGTTTTCGACGAAAGTGGCACGTGTGTCGTTTTTTAGGATAAAAAATTTAGAAGGTGTCGCACAGATGTGCACCAGCACATTAGTTGCTCTTTCAACGCCCCTGGTTTCAGCCTTTTCCAGATCTTTTGGCCCATCTTTACTCGATAAGTCGATAGCTGTATTATCACGACCTTCACCCGAAAGGGAAATTTAATACTATATTTCCCATTTTTAAAGACCTCCCATAACTTTGGAAAGAAAATAAATTACGCTGCGGGTCGAGTTTTCGGTCAATTTTTATTCGCGCTCCCTTCACAACATGGCTGTGCAACAGTGTCTGGGGATTTTTCACTCTGTTGTATTAATTGCAGTCTTGACAGTGTTTCTCTTTCAAATTACCAAAGTTTCCCCCACCGAGAGTCCACAGGAAATCGATAGAAAACAGAGAAGCCAAAGCTCCTCCAAAGATTCTACCGACCAACCTTCATCTAGCCTCGAGAATTCCAAAGTAAGCCTTTTTTTTGTTTTCTATTTCATGAAGGAAGTTTGGTCAAGATCTATTATTTTGCCGAAGTATTAACTGATGGTGAACGTGCAGAACGCGTGGTGTCAGTCATGCTCTACACGAGTCTTGTTCCACCTTGTTCCCACGCCCAGGTGAACTTAGCGTATCCAATCCGTTGCGTCTACTAAACGTAAACTTTGTCGAAAGGAAAGCTATTGCGTCGCGGAAATTTTGTCAACGGGGTTTGAGATGTTTTCACGTAGAGCCAGTCTTCTATTTTTGGCTTGCAACAACTTTGCTTCCTATTCTGAAAAAGCCGCGCGAAGATAAGAAAACTAATTGATATGTTTTTCTTTTCCCAAAAAATTCTGTATCATGGGCAGTTAAGTTTTAAAGTTATGTTTAGGTATTTTTGTATAGATTTCACTGTAATTGTCAGTCTGTTCAGTTCACGTTACCAGATACAGTATGATGTTTAACACAAGCACTTCGGAAGTTAGATGATCCTTTAATGCCGCTGCATTCGTAATGCTTAGGATATTTTGAAATTAGCGTGAAGCGGTTCTTTTAATCAACAGCGGCAGAAAAAAAGGACGGTATTTGCCTCCGATAACCTTTGATGGACAATGTAAATATCTACGTTCGTCTTGCAAAAGTCGTTTAAAAAATAAATTGTACATGTATTTATAGAGAAACTGAAAAGCCGATCTTTTTCAGAAAGTATTCTAAATAAAATAGTTACTGGCAATAATTATGGTTGGTACGGTATGCAAACTCAATAAATAACCACTCATTTCGTGAGGCTTTCTGCTGATCTATTTGCAAGCTAATGCTTATGCTACAGTATTTTCTAGCCTCTAGACTTGAAGGTATTTGATCAGACGCTTCGCATGCAAGAAGGAATTTCTTGCCCACTGGTATATGTCGGTTTTTCACATTAGACAAGTGCAGTTAAAACCAGTCATGGCCCTCCTTTTCTTTTCATTAAAGTCTAAATATATCTAAACTGGGCTAACTGAAATAACAAAGGCCAGCCTTAGTGTCTTACAACGTGGACTAAAAATGACAATTTAGGGTAAAAAAGCAACTTTAATTATATACTGATAAAAAAAAACTTACAATAATAAGGACATTCAAATAAATGTTCTTCTACACTGTCAGGAGGTATAAAAGGTTGTTTTCCGACCTTCACTTGTGTCTACTCATCGATGGATGGCGCGTGTTTAATTGCTACAAACTGTTAACTGTGACTCTGTGAAAATTATCAACACAGTGTCGGGGGGACACTATCAAGCCTGTACGAACTCGATTCCTTTCTTTTCTGGCAAAGACTTAAGAGCATTTTGATACCATCTATATTTCTTACAACTGTTTTACGAACATTTCTGCTGGTGTTATGGAAGATACTTTAGAAAAGGTGTTAGCTTTAAGGGAGCGTCTGCTGAGATCTGTTGCTTAAAATAGCTCTCAACATTCCACCGAACACACATAAGGAGGTAATTACACACGATCAACTCCCAACATGATACAAAACCTGCCATTGTCAAAAAAGAGACATTTTAGTACGAGTGCTTGCCTTAGCGCTGGGGGTAGGGTGGGTTTACTCGAATAAAAGATGCTAGGAATGTGACGCTGGATTCCTGATTGTTCATTTTATAAGTGATGAACTGTTTTTATTATCCTCCAAACTGCAGGGAGCTGATAATGGCTCGAATGCTTTAAACCCTGCGGAAAGTTGGAACATCTTCAGAAAGCAAGGCGGCAAAGGAAAGAAGGGAAAGCATAATAAACACAACAGAGAATCATCCAAGGTAAAATAAAAAACCCTCTCCAAACAGAAAATTATTTCTTATTTTCTCATGAATTTATTTTTATTTTCTGGTGGAAGAAGATACGCTATTTAATAGTTCAAGCCAATGGTTCCGGGTTAATCAACAGTTTTCTCGATAGGAGAACGTTAACAGAAGTTACTGATATGGTGTCGTTGACATAGGAATGTGAAGCCTTTTTCAGATTGACAAAATAACCGACTTGGGGTCTTTCTTATAAGATTTATCTTTTTTCAGCTGGATTTAGGAAAATATTTAATTTAATATTTAGTTTTCCAAAATGACAAGATCTTACCTCTTTATCCATTTACGTTTAAAATAACTTGCAGAATCAGTGTGAACCTAGTCCCGGTCCCCCTGGCCCTCCCGGTCCACCTGGACCTGCTGGTCCACCTGGAGCCCAGATCACCGAGGCCACCATGATGGCGGAATTCAGGAGCATGGTGCAGGGTGAGCGCTGGTTTTATCACGCTGTTTATTTCTTGTTAAGATGGCTTATTTTATGGGTTCAGTGTTACTGTTTAAGGAAACTACTCACTTCTGATTAACAACACATCCAGCTGCATAATGCCTTCACACAGTCTTGAAATCTATGCGTAAACGTTTTTATCTTCCCTGCCTTTTGACACGAGGAAGAATAACTTGCAAAAAAAATTCTGTATAAACTAAAATCGTGGGCAGGGGGGGCGGGGTATGCTAAAATAAAAAATGTTCCTGGTGCTGGATGACAGTTTCTCACCTTTGTCCAAAACAACTAAAGTAATTTCGCCTCTGAAAATATAAAGGTTATACCCACAACTACATCCCCGAGAGCTCGCGACTTTCTCAACGCAAATTTACTAACCACGATAAAAGAAAGTGGACGCTGTAAGATGGGGGGTGGGGTGGGGGTGCAAAGATAGAGAAAGAGAGAGAGGCAGAACAGTCAGAGAATATTCAGGCATTGAAACATGAAGAATGACGACTTTTTGTAATCCGGCTCTTTTGTTTTCATACAGAAAGTGCAAATCGTCGATCAAGACGTATTGCAGACCAGGTATGAAGAACCATTTTTCTTTTCCTGCACCCTGAGTCACAGACGCTTTTCAGTGACTTCTTGCTCCCATGACCTTGCACAGCGTACAAATTATCTGTTAAGCGGGCTATGATCACTCAACGAGACAATATTAATTACTTCATAGAGTGGAACTCTACAACCCTGGTCAAAACGTCTTGGGACACTTGAGGAAATTAGGCACAAAGACGCACGTTGCGAGATTAACTCATATTCTACCTCTTAAAAAAGCTTGGGGATGTTGTTATAAGGGGCTGTTTCTGCTGTCCCCCTCTCCCCCAACTACGGCAGTGTTGATTGTATTGAATTAAAACTTGAATGCATAACGTCAACACTACTCCGGCGGGGAAGGGGGGAAGGAAGATGCATCAATTTGACGAACTATTGCATTAGTGTCTCAAGAGATTTGACCAGGGTTGTAGGTAGCGAACGTTTTCTATGTTCCACAGGTATTACTCCTTTAACTTGTAATAACTTGTAGTTGTAATTTGAGCCCTCCCCCCCGTGCGTTCAATTGTAACTCAACATTGCTTATAAATTAAAAACGAGTATATGGCTTTCAAGATTTTTAAAGTAGAAAGTGTATTTTCCAACAGAACATCAGTCTTATGGCAGCAGGAATACCTGATCTCCTCTCAGCGCATCATGTTGAACTTCGACATGACGTCACGATTGCGAAGAAATCCCACCAGGAACTGAAAAACTACAAACTGCCTGTAAGTGGAAATTGTTTGTTCGCTGATTTCCGGATCAAATTCTGCTCGTGTAAAAGAAAGCAGGCTTTAATATAGCAAGCTTTGCAGCTCCTACTCTTTGCGTTCTTGTTTGACTGAGTTACTTTAAGTCCCGAGATCTAAGCTAAAGTCTTATGATGATCGAAGATTTTCTATTGTAGGACCTAAATTATGGAACAGCATACTCACATCTTTAAGGAATAACGATTCCTTGAATTCTTTCAAAAAACACTTAAAGACATATTTATTTCACCAAGCTTTTTCTTAATTTATAAATAGATTTTTATTCATTTTTCATACTAATATATGTAGTTGTTAGATTTTTTTAGAGTTTTAATATATTTTTTGTGATATTGTGAAGCGCCTAGGACAGTTGATGATATAGACGCTATAAAAATAAAGTTTATTAGTATTATTATTATTGTTATTGTTATTATTGTTTTACTACTTTCAGTTGACCTAACAGTCCGTTTCAGTTGAACGAGGACACCGTGTTATTGCGAAAAACAAATGTTGCCAACAGAAATTTCTGATAGTGTTAGGAGAATAATTAAAAAACTAGATATCTTTGAGCGTGGATAAGACGCCGGAAATTTTATGGAGAAACAACTGTTGACTAGCTGGTGGTCAGAGAGGTCCCTGTTTTAGCCGACTCTGCACCCCCACCACTCAATTAAGCTTCCTTAGCTTTTAGTTAATCTAACGTGCTCATTGACCACCCCGTCTTTTTGTTGGATTCTTTGTTTTTACGCAGGGCGACCATTCTGGGACGTTTGTACGCGGAAATGATTTTAATGTGCGCTCCGGACGATATATCGTCCGGTACAGCGGTGTGTACCAACTCACAGCCAACCTACTATTATCACGTGACAGGGAAGCAAATCTGCGGCCACGTGATCACGTGAAAGTCAGCATCTGCATCAGTTCACTGTGTGAATTGAACACGTGAGTGAGCATTCTGATTCATCATTTTTGAAATTCACTATGATGTGCACAAATGGGAATCGGGGGTTTTGATACGATTATCTAAAACTGGATATTGTCGTATCAAACGTCCTTTGGACTTAAAATTGATTTAGTTGAACATTCCTCAGTCTGTGTTCACAAAATTACTGCCCCAGCCCCGTAGAAGTTTAATTTCACTCGTGCCATGGGAGTACCTATAGTACTTGAATATTCAGTGAAAAAATTGGCACCTTCTTTTAAACAGGAATTAAGGTATTTCCATCAATTGTTTCAGAGCTCTGACAACAATAACAGGAATGGAAAGCAACAGTCTCCGGTTCACAGTAACAGTCAGTGGCATGTTGATGCTAAAGGTAAAAAAAGACATATGGCCCTTGAATGGCTACACTTAGGATGTATATCTTGTAGTTAATTTTTTATTTCAGTTAAAACAAGTTTTGTAGTCATCTGCGCTTTTCTTGATATAAAGTAAGGGGCCAAAGTAAGGTATAATTGCTTCCTAGGCAGTACCTAGAATTCAGTATTTTTTCTTGTGAATTGAACTTTCCGTCAGTAGTTCAGCACGATGTTTTTCGTGGATTTTCAGCGTGAATTTGGGCCTTTGTAGTCTCCTACGAAGCTGTTTGGGGGGCAGCAAGGGAAACTAGGCCCTTTGTGTTAATTTCAAAATCAACATAACTTGCAACAGAAACCGAGCCCGAGGTTTCGGTTTTAAAAACTAGCAACGTCAATCACATGACTGTCCGTATTCATTAGTTTGTCCATGCGCTAAAGAGAAAACATTCGTGTTTCTCTGCGGCCCTTTTTTTAGTCTTTCTTTCCAGTAACATGAAAATCGATGAACAGAAGATCATGTCGTCTTGGAAAGTAAAAATTGGTTCTGAAAAATATAATTTTACCCTTAATATGTATTGAGACTATTTTATTTTCTACTAGGCTGGACAATATGTATCGCTGTACATCGAGAATAATACCAACAAGCCTATAAACATCCTGGAGAAGACCTCATTTTCTGGACTTATGATTGGTCGCTAATAGGAGATTATACTACAGAGAACATCATACACTGCGAACTGAACTATAAACTATTCTTATTCTTAAGAAAAGTGCTCTAAGAAAAAAACAAACAACCTACTCTTCTTTATTTTCACTAATACTGAGATTATGTCTAGACTATAAACAATAGAAGGATGGAAATCAATTTATTTCCTTCGGGTTTTTATCAGGTATTGGTCTTGCAAGTCATTCATTTAACGCTACTGATCGTCGTTTTTGGAGCTAGAAGATGTATATAAACCAGCTCCTGGGATTGCAAATCTCGTAGAAACTGCATTAGATCTGTGCGTGGAAAAAACTGTTCTTCAATGAGTCATTTAAATCAGAATGCATTACTAACTGTATGTACTGGCGCCCGGACAGGCGCGGCGCGAGTGGAAGCTTGCAGTATGAGCGACAAAGTAGCCAAGGCAACTGCGTTTTCATATATTTTGAACAGTTTTGATTGTTTTTCGTCTCCCTATTTTGTGTTTATCATTTTCCATTTATTTCAAAGTAAAATAGAACCGAGAGAAGCATTTCTGGTTCTTAAGTGGGCTACATCAAATGTTATTACTGTTTTAGGTCAATTCTGAGAAGAAGTCATTACTTGGTGTCTTGTTCAAGTACAAAAGGTTGTAGAGTTATGATGCGAAGATCAAACCAAGATCCATTAGGGCTCTCGATCAAACAATTATCATCAGGGAGAACCAGCCATATTATTTGGGGTGGGGGTTGCTAAATATAGCCTTACACAAAACTGGACCATTTTTGGAATTCAATAGATGAAAAAAGAGTTTTAGCTAACAAATATCGTGACATACCCCCTTCAAAAATTAAAATATTTTCACTCCTAATTAACGTAGCTGTCGTTTAGACTAGCCTGCGTGGCAGGCCCAAAATCTCCCTTTCCCTTCCCTTTCAAACGCCTGCCACGCAGGCTATCGTTAGACGTATGGTCTTTTAAAAGTGCGATTTTGTGATGGAAAAACGGATGCTAAGTGAAGGAAAATCGTGCATAAGAAATTTCTAGTTACCTTCTGACCTTCTCAGTTTCAAGACCCAGAGCAGAGCGTAGCGTTAAGTTACAGAGAGTTTGCCGATACTGGACAAGTAAACCGGTAAGACGCCAGGCACCGGTTGTTCGAACGTTGGATAGCGCTATCCACCGGATAAATCACTATCCAACGGATAAGTACTTGGGAAATTAATTGCACTATCCACTGGATAGAGATTTATCTACTATCCACCTTTTGAGGTTTCTCAAGGTCTCTTCACATGAGCCCTGTTTCCGAGATCTCGCCTTACCTCTAAATCCTTTGTAAAATCAGTTCGATGTGTTGTTCGTATGAGAGGGTGGGCTGGCTCGGTTCCCGAGATCTCGGTTTTTCCAACCGGGATCTCAGTAAGCAGGCTGGAAATTTTGCCATATGAACACTTCAGCCCGGTTACCCGGATGAAAGTGGGATGAATTCTGGCGGCCCAGATGGCGTAGTCTTGCATTGCCTGCTGAGTTTTCCACATCATAAGCCAAGCATCCCATTTAACTGCAGCGATACAGCTTTAGGGGTTGCCAAAGCTATGGTAGGCGCGAAATTTATAATTTTTGTGTTTTGTCATGTTTGCTTTGTTCCTCGAATTTCGTGCCAGAACTGGTCCTCGGATCCCTTCCGATCCCCCGGATCTTTGGCCTTTTTTCATCTCGGCAACCGGGCTGAAATTTCTCATATGAACCCAAAGTGAAGTTGGTCCCGGTAAACGAGCCGGCCCGTTCAACCGGGCTCATTTGAAGAGGCCCTCAGTCTTAGCCAAAAGTTTCTAAGCAGACGTTTAATTAGTTAAGAATTTCAGTTGTTTATCTCTCAATTAGAGTGAGAACTATAGGTGAATAGCACTTTGATTTTGGTTTTAACGGTGCCTATCCTTTTGTGAGCTCTGACATTCCATATGAGTCGTGATTATGTAAATAATATTTGGAAAAAATAAGACATGCAGTTTCTCTCTCGAAAGGTTGTATTCTCTCTTGTCAATAGCCGTTATGGGCTGCTGCTCTTTTTTCTTTTTTCTTTTTCAGTCGGGATTAGTTTCCCGTTCGGGCTGTTTCTCAACTAGCCTGCGAAAACATCCGTTTCTCCTCGCTCTTCGCCGCTGGGAACGTTTCGCACGGGAGAACGTCACTTTCTTCCGCGCGAAACGTTTCTCAGCCTGCTCCGCAGAAGTGCGTTCTCAACAATCATTGTCTAAATTCTTGCATAATGAGCAAATGGTAGCAGTGCACAAAAGTAATCCTCCGAGGACATGCGTTTACGAACAGTATGGCTTCACCACCTTTCTCTGTTATGAAATGAAACTATGCTTCTTGGTGACGTTGACACGGTCGGTCAAAAGAGATTTTTGAAAAAAATATGCACGAAGTAATGAGTTCGTCTCCAGGAAAGTTGAAGCCGTTTCGACCGCTTTGAAATGCATCAGAGGAAGGAGCTTGTGGCGGTGTAGGCTTTAGAACCCCTTTCACATACAATAGCGTGAGACAATTCTTAATACAATGTACACGTCGGATAACCGTAAATAAAATAGGTCGTTCAAAGTTCACTTTTGTTGCTTGAAGTAACAAAAATGAACTTTGAAAAACTGTTAGCCTATTAACCAGTTTTCAAAAACCGCATTTACAGTCCGTTTCAATTTTCTGCTGTCTTGCCCTTCTGTGCCTCTTATTGCATGTGCTGTGTTATTCATTTATACCTTCTTTTAACCGGTTTTGAGCCGTTTTTTTTTTGTTTTTTTTCCTATTTCAATTTTGTAGCAGTTCCTATTGTTTGAATTTTGATAAATTTCGTGACACAGTTCCTTTAAAAGCGGAAATTTCAATCGTCAGACTGCAAAAATAACTTCTGAGTCTGAGCATGTGGGGATACGACAACCCTTTCTGTTAAGAAGTTTTTACCCTACTCTTTAGGGATACCGCAGGGATCTATCTTCGGTCCACTTTAATTTCTCCTATTTGTGGATGATATGCCTTGACATTTGAACAACTCCACCACTGATATATATGCTGACTATACCACCCTGTCCTTAAATGCAAACTGGAATAATATCACTTCTTTAACTAGGGCTCTTTCTAATGACTCGGAGAATATCGAGAAATGGTCAACTGAAAACAAAATGAACATCAATACAGAGAAGACAAAAGCATTACCTGCTACGGGTACAAGGTTACAACATAAGCTTTGTGCGGAAATAGCAAGCTTACAACTACACCTTAACGCCACAAATATCGACTAAATATCGCATCAAAAGTTTATACTTTGTTTAATTATTGACAAAGATCTTAGCTTCGAAGCACACACTGTAGATGAATAACCTTATTGCTACTTAATTTCGCGTTTTTCGCGATTGTAAAAAAATCGCGACATTAAAGACCTGCGACACCTGACCTGCGAAAATTAATTCTTTGAGAAATTTAAGAGAGAGTCTCTCTAAAACCGGTCCACTGCGTTTCGGGTAGGAAAATCAGTTTCCTTTAAATTTTGCCCAGGAATATATCTTGATAGTAAAGTAATTGAGTGAAACCGCATTAGTTTTTGGAAATATTTCAAAATAAAATTTTTTCGGGAGGAAAATCACTTCAGCGCCCGGCGGCCAATTTTTTGCAGTGACAAAGAGTAAAAATAGCGCATATTTCCGAGTTTACCACTACAAAGTTTTTCACTTTCAACGATTTTTTTCACTTCCCAGGATTAAATTGGTCCTTAAAAGATGTAAAGTACACAATTATTGTCCCTCAAAAGCAACTCATATTTAATAAACATTTTTTATTTACACCCACTTTACGGTAGGGGGAAAAAGGCTCGAAAATGCATATTTTAATGCTAGTACTGTGCAAAATCCCCACATCTTCTAAACAAAATATCTTTTCAGACCAACAAAGGAAATGAACAAAAACATAGAAACATAAAAATATGTTGTGATTTTAAAGTAAAAAAAACTTTCAAATACTTGATACATTTAATGAATTGTTGTTAATGTTAGAGAGGCTTTCAATTAAAATCCCCGGGGGGTTAAAATCGTCCATCGTGTATTGTAAACAGTCATAACTGATTACAGAAAATAGGTATATTTCTTCGATAAGTGATTTATGAGCTCAGCCGATCGAAGAAATATACCTATTTTCTGTAATCTGTCCGCTGATCTAAAGAAAGTTGAAAATGTTAAATCCTTTAAAAAGAAATTGTATAACAATTTTTAAAATTACTAAGCAAAAAGAGGCAGGAAATTTTGAATATCTTTTAAATAGTTATGTAGCCTTTTCTATTAAGTCGGTAAAATTTTTATTTTACTTTTACTTGTTTTAAATAGTTACAGGAGCCCATCACCCTGATAGTTAATAGTTTTTTTAAGTACTAGTTAAAATTTTTATAATGAGACTCTATATAGTTTGCAAATACTATTTTTGCTTGGTTTTAAATTGTGTCTACTACAGCTGTCACGTATGTAAATTTTTCATCTTTTTATAATGACATTGTAATTTTTTATATAATTATATATATGTATTTTATTGAATTTATGTTAACAGAGGGCCACAAGCTAAGAGCAAAGTTTATCAGTTCAGATCATAACTGTCAAATGTTACCTTCTGTAAATAAAAGCGTCACAGGCTTCACTTCCGCACGGGCATCATTGTTTTCTATTAATTGTCTTATTCGAAACTTCAAGGTTAGAAACTGAAATTAGGGTTAGAATCATTTCCCTAAAAGTGGAGATCAATGTTCTGGAAATGTCACTACTCATTTTAAACCTTGAATATGATAATATTCAGCAAGTCTGTAAGTTGCATGCTAGGCCCAAAAACTCTTTTTCCGTCTGTCTCCTGCCCCTTTGGTTGCCTACCACCCAGGCTAGTAAGTCTTCCCGACACGGACTAGAACAGTTTACAAAACTGAAATGCGACAACTCAAACATTCCTATTGTTTGTTACGATGATCTCAAAGGCTTGTCTAGCATAGGAACTACCAGTTTGAATAAACCTAGGCCGAGTCAAATCCAGTTGATACGGGCACTGAGGGGTCAGTATTAATGGGATGTCCGTATAAAGCGGGTTGAATTTAGAGAAAAAGTCAAGGTTTTCTTTTCCCAGGGACAAAGCAAACTGTCCGTAAAAACGAGGTGTCCATATCAAGCGAGTGTCCGTAAAGTAAAGCGTGTTTGACTGTATCTAGGACTGGAGCCGGATGTCATAAGCGGGATGAATATGGTTGTTCGGGTGAGTATAGTCGTGAATAAGAGAACGTTTTCAGACATTGGACTACACTCGAGTTAAAGTTTAAAGCCGGTTTATGTGTTAAGTTGTATTTTGAGACTACAGTTGTGAAGAAATTGCAGTTCATGTAAATCAGTGCAAAAATGTGGTATGATTTAAAAAAACAACAACAACAATATTTTTACCTGTACTCAGTACTAATCTATCACTCTACTGCATTGACACCAGTTCTATTTCACTGTTAATAGCTACTCAAAATAGTGAATTTTCTAAATGGAATGAATCAACCAGCTATAGAGGCCAAGTAAATTTCAAAGAATTTATATGATTTGGCAATTTGCACATATTTTTAAATCTTAACAAAAACTCTTTCAGGTGATCAAATTTCAGATCTTTAACTAGCCTGCGTAGCAGGCGCTAGGAAATAAATGGGCGCAAGAAAAAACGCGCGCGATCTTTAACATCAGATTTCGTTTGTTAAAATCAATCTTCAAAACACAGCACTTTCCTTACCTCTCCAGGCGGCTTTTCTTATTAAAGACTGTTATACCGAGGTATTAAGATAATACTGATCACGCGTTCTATATCCATATAAACAAGAGATTGGTTTTCCCTACCATCAGAGCACCGACATAAAAAAAGTCCCAATATTGAGAGAGTATCAGTATATTCCTCTCCTAGGAGAATTACTGATCTCCTTATTTTATAAATTACTCTCATTTATTCAACAGTCAGAAACCCCGCTTATGTGGCCCAGCAAAATTTAGCCGTATGACGTGGTGGCCGTGTAAAATGGTGGGGAAGGGGGTGGGGGGGGGGTGGGAGGGTAAAATTTCTTAGTTTTACTTCTGGTTTCTTTAAAGTCAAGTTATTTATGAAAATGACAATTGCACTTCGAGACAGATGTGGCAATTTTAGAAATGAACGACAAGACATTTTATAGCCACATTTAGTTCATAAAAAAAGAATGTTGTTCTCGGCTGACGTATTACAAGTAACGAGGTGAAAAATATAGAAATATACACGTTGGGTAAATTTTCGAAATAGTTTTTACGAAGACGCGACAAATATAGAGTTGATGGCAACCTATTTTATTTATTCTTTATCAAGCAAGTCCAGTTAACGTTACAAAGTTGTACTCATTTCAAACACAAGAGCTATTCAGTATCGAGGTAACATTCAAATATCGCTGACCCGTCATATCCAGTGATTGTTAGATTAAATATATTCTATTTTTTCTTATAAACAGTGCAGTAACGTGTTTAGAAACCGAAAGGCATATCATTTTAGTCAAATGACAGGGGAGTGTGAGAACGTAAGGGAATTCGAAGTAGTATAAATTTAACAAGTTGATGTTCAAAAATAACAGGACAAAACAAGCTCTTTGACCTGGGATGTGTAGTTTTTCTTGAGAGACAATTGCAAATTTCTGATAATTATGGCTGCTAAAAAGGAAGATGAAGGCGAAAGAATAAGCCTAGTGCCAGAGATAGAAAATTCCGAATTCAAAATTACAGACGACCGAGAGAAATCAAAACCGGAAGAAAAGCAAGAGAAATCAAAGATCTTAAATTCATTGAAGCAATGGATGTTTACGGGTGAAAAAAAGACCACATTTAGCGAGACTTTTGGCTTAATTCAAAGCAACTCCATAACACTTAGGAACCTTATTGTGGCGGTATCAACTTACGGCCTCGAACGACTTCTCAACGCCAAAGCATTTAACTGCCCGGAAGAGAATTACAAACAGTATGGCTACGTGTTCTTGTTCGCTCCAGTTGTTATTCTCTTCTGCTTGAATTTGTTGGTTATTGGCGAGATCTGGAAACTGTCGTCCAGAATGTGCATCAAACGCTATAGAAGGAGAGGAGATCGCGTCGCTCGAGTTTTGCCAAGTTTACTCAAGGCTTGTGTTGGGCCAGCTGTATGGCTGATTGTGGCATTTCTGGAAGAAGATTATTACCTCTGCGCCAAGCTGGGGTCCTTACCTTCAAGAGGCAACAGAACAAGCGAGCAGAAAGTTGTTGAATATAAGAGTCAATCACATGTCTTGGCTTGGGGTGTTCTCGTCGCGATTGTCATTCTGGGTACAGCAATGATAGTGTTGAAGAACTGCTATCTTAAAGACAATCTTCTTATGGAAAGTAAGTATAAAAATCGACAAAAATTTCGAAAATAAGAAGAGCACTAGACGCAGAGTTTCAGTGTGTGGCGGATAGTGCTAAAATTTAAACTAGCATTAACTAGGAAATTTGGTTTAGTAATTTGATAAGGTCAAGATCGTGTGGTCAATGAAAAATGATGTTTAAAAGCTGGCGTTTCGAGTTAATGCCCTTCGTAGGTGATTCTAGCTTTCGTTTTGAAATGACGAATGTCCTAAAACAGAGAACAACGCGGAAAATTGAAGAGAATATTTTTTTATAAGTGACGGGTTAACATACCGTAAACTTTCGCTTATAAGCCCTGGGCTTATACAACTTCGTAAATGGTTTTAGGAAGGCTTATAAATAAAGTGGGGGGGGAGGGAGGGGAGGGCCTTACAACCAGACGAAAAAGAGGGTTTCATAACAAGTTATACGACAGTGCTGATCAAAATACTTTTTTACGTCGTAAAAAATCGATCTCATTTCAATACAAGCTAGTTAAGGGGGGGGGGGGGGCAGGGCTTATATTCGGAGGGCTTATAACCGGATGTACTTTTTTGTTCACAGGTAGATGGGCCTATAACTGGGGGGCTTATAAGTGGGGGGAGAGGGCTTGTTAGTGGGGGACTTATAGCTGGGGGGCTTATAATCGAAACTTTACAGTATTTGTGCGAGGTGAAGATTGGCATAATCCTTTTATAAAAAAGGATCGAAACCAAATAGTGACCATGTTGATGACTATGAATTTCATGATTAAGCAAACTACGTTTTCCTAGATAAAACTGAATGCTTTATTTTCTGGTTTCCAGATCTCTATGCCTATGAAAGACGAGAGGCCCTAAGCGCAATGAAAACATTCACAGAACATATGGGTGGTTCACTAAAGGATGCTAAACTCGACAACGACCCAAAGACGTCCGAGTACGGCAGCAAAGAGGAAAAGGTTACACTTTATGATGATGGCATTCCTGAAAAGATTGGAAAGAAAACAGTTGAGAAATTATTTGAAGGTGAGAGTGAAAGAGCTTGGCATGGCTACACCCTCAGATTAATCAGGAAATGAGAAAATAACTGAGCACTAGCAAGAGTGAAACAGTCTGACCAGTACCGGGAGCCGATTACCCGGAGCCTCCATATGTGCTATAACCTTGAGTCAAACCTTTCCCGTACGTTTTAATACATACTTTTAGAACTAAAAATGTTTCCGCGGACGTCCACCCAGACACAAAAGAAAGAAAATGGCAGCAGAGTGGGAACCTTTCTCTTTTTTCCCTCATCGGTTTCCTTTGAAAATTTGTTCCGCGTTTCCTCCTTTTCTCCTAACAACACTTTATTAAAGGAGCTGAGTCGAGAAATTTATCAAAATTCTAACAATAGGAGATACCAGCAAGTTGAGTAAAGCATAAAAATAAGAAGATATAAAAAGAAAGTATAAATATTACAGCGAATACAATGATAAACACTTGGCAGGTATATTTGTTGGACAGAAAGCTGTGTTTTTGTCATTTACCAGTAATTTTTTCGCTAACGTTATAGGATAAAGCACTGTTTAGAAACATTCCTTTTAGTTGTACAAATTTGTAACAAATGAAACAAAAGAATCTTCTGTGAAAAGAACCAATCCGCTTCTGGTTGGCACATTAATAATAATAATAATAATAATAATAATAAGAAGAAGAAGAAGAAGAAGAAGAAGAAGAAGATATAACGAAGAGACACTTAAATAGTGTATTGAGCACTGTTTAACGGCTTTAGCCACTTTATTACACGTAATAATAATAATATAAGCTTATATAGCGCTGTTTCTAGAAATTCAACAGCGCTTTACAATAGAGTACTAAAGTGATGACGTCATAAAAATGAAATTTCTGAAATTATGGGATTTGTCAGGATATTCTGAAAGAACAATGTCCAAGAGGTCTACTTGCGAAAAATGACCATTTCGGGGCAAATTGTCTCTGAGATGTTAGCCGGTTATACTCGGAAAACTCCATACAAACCCTTTTAATTTTTTGGGGGGTCGACCCAAAAAAATTTAAAAGGGTTTGTATGGAGTTTTCTAAACATAACTGGGCTACGATCTCGGAGACAATTTGCCCCGAAATGCTCATTTTTAGCAAGTAGGCCTCTTGGACATTGTTCTTTCAGAATATCCTGACAAATCCCATAATTTCAGAAATTTCATTTTTATGACGTCACACTTTAGTACTCTATAGTACAGTTAAAATAATAAAAGCTATCATTCAAACTAATTAATTAAAAACTGAAACTACCAAATAAAATAACGCCTAAAAGAAATGTCTTCAACTAAGATTTAAAAACAGTCAGTGAATTGCAAGATCTTAGATCTGCTGGAAGACTGTTCCACAGTTCAGGGGCAGCACAAGAAAAGGCCCTTTGCCCGTATGTTTTAAGTTTATATTTCGGTGTTACAAGGAGAGATTTACCCGAGGAGGGCAATGTTCTCCAAGGATTGGAACAGTATTACTCGACCAACTACTCCAGCCAGTGTTGTCTGACATGTTATGATTTCGTTAAAGGTTATGAGGGTGGCGGCTGGTACTTCACTAGGGCTTACGAAGATTTCAAGAACATGTATCCTCGTATTTCCACTGGAAGCCCATTCGACCCTTGGAGAATGGTCGAAGGGGATCACCATGATAAAAGGACCGACAGTGTGAGCTGCGGGGACTAGCTGAAGCCCTTTCAGCCAACGGCGGTGACCAAACTGATCGGAAGACCTTTTAAGTCGGATGATGAAGCAGAATCTATGATGGTATAAACAATCAAAATCTGCTACTTCTAAATCAAATCTTTTTTATGAACTTTACTTCCATTAACTTTACAGAGAAAAAGTTCGGGAAATCAGTTTATGCCTAAGGGCTCCGTAACTTAAAGATGATTTCCTCCAAAGAGGTTCCATGCAATCACGAATAATTCATTCTGATGTCTGTCATCGGTGATAAAATAAACAGGAGCATGAAACGTCAATTTTAGGAAAATGATCTGTTCGGAAGACAATTTGAAATCTAGAATTTTCGTAACATTTGTTGTAAAATTTCTTGCTTGCCTGCCTCTCTTAGGATTTTCGAACATATCAAAAATGGTATAGTTGCCCATTTTTAACGATTTTGTACCCTAAAAAGGTCACCTAGAATTTTCCGGAGCCTTTTTTCTGGCTGAAATTTTCGAAAAGGTAAGTTTTGATCTCTATAATGTTCCGATCACTGGACTTTCAGCTAGGAAATCCGAACAGATGAAAAATTTTTAGAAGATAAAAACATGCCTATATCTACCGTTTAAAAACTAAAATACGTTCATCAATTCTATGTTTAAGTGGTTTTGAACTATATTCTCATTGGGTGCCCCCTGAAATAAATGCTAAAATGCACCTTCTCAATACTTGTGGAGTGGTCTCAGCTGAGATTACCCCCTGGGAAAAAGCGAAATAATTTCTTGAGTATTTTATTCCATCGTTTTTGTACACAGTTATATATTTAGTACAATCTTTAAGCAGAGACATCTATTTAAATAGCTAACAGCTGGTCATAAAGAGACCTGTAGAAACAGAAACCATCTAACGAATACAAAAAATTACAATCATTAAGATTACTAGCATATGTAAATTCGTTTAACCTAGCTAACTGAGGAACAAATTATTGATTAAACTTTTTTTATGGAGACAGTTAGAAGCTATAAAGGAAGTAAATTATAGAAGCAATAATAAAAAACATAACAAACATCAAACTGAGCTGAACTTGAAATAAGTTAGTGTCCAAGAAACTGTAATCTAGCAGCTACTAGTAAAGTGTTTCCTCATTGGTCGCATAAAACAATAACACGACAACACATCATCGTTTATTATTATTTCCCATTGTTTCACGGTTAGGGTACCGAACCAATTGGCTTTTAGGATTAGAAGAGCCCCAAGAAAACGCTAGGTCTCTTGCGTCCCAGTGTCATCATCACCTGGTACCTGGGGACGCTGAGTGGGAAAGACTTGTCAACATATCTCAGTTTAGACAGCAGTATTTCGTGGTTAGTATTGTATCAAAAGCTTTTCTCATATCTAGTATCGACAAGACCGCTGTCAGTTGCTTCTTATACATCGCGCTTAAGGTGGCTCGACTAAATTTTTTAGGAGCGATACCTTCCAAGTTTGAGCGCCATTAATAAGGAAACAGGACAAAAGACCACCACAACTATATCACTCAATGGTGAACTTTTTTTTTTGTGGGCAGTTTTATATTGACAGAACAGTTGTCATAGTAACGTAATGACGCCATTGCCTATGTTACTTGCTACAGTATTTCTCGAAACTAGAATTTTTTTTTGCCAAAATGATTCAAGGGTACTTGTTCCTCAAATAGCCGCCTCAATACTTGTTGCTAAAAAAAAAAGATCCAGTGGAACCTTAAATATCACGATGTCCGTAGTTGATTGCAGCTTTATGCGGTTTCCGTACAGGTTCAGAAGACAGGTGGTCCCTCGGGATAAGGTAAGCCGTGAACTCATTCGAGTTCACGGCTTATCTTATCTAAGGTGTACGAATGAGGCCACTCATTCGTGCACCGTATATAATACGGGAAATATTATAGGATGAGGCTGATTGTGATATTAAGAATTATGCAGATTGAGGAGGATAATACCTTCTGCTGCGCCTCCGTCTTGACTTACGTCAATGGCAGATAATTTTCAGTTTACAATCACCTGCGTCTGAGTGACTGACGTCAATGATTTAGCTGGCTATGAAGAATTAGCCAGGAGATTATAGCCAATCAAAAACGGAGAGATATTTTGAACGAATAATAATAGCACGTAATAGAACAACAGTCAAACCTGTATTAAGCGAAGCTCTATCTAGCTATCACCCATATCTATTACGCGGTCACCTACCGAAGTCTACCAAAGTCCCGAAAATCATTTCTCTCAGTTACTGTAAAACTGATCTATATTAAACTACCCTGCTAGCAGGCTAGTTTTCCTAGATAAAACTGAATGCTTTATTTTCTGGTTTCCAGATCTCTATGCCTATGAAAGACGAGAGGCCCTAAGCGCAATGAAAACATTCACAGAACATATGGGTGGTTCACTAAAGGATGCTAAACTAGACAACGACCCAAAGACGTCCGAGTACGGCAGCAAAGAGGAAAAGGTTATACTTTATGATGATGGCATTCCTGAAAAGATTGGAAAGAAAACAGTTGAGAAATTATTTGAAGGTGAGAGTGAAAGAGCTTGGAATGGCTACACCCTCAGATTAATCAGGAAATGAGAAAATAACTGAGCACTGGCAAGAGTGAAACAGTCTGACCAGCAGCCGATTACCCGGAGCCTCCATATGTTCTATAACCTTGAGTCAAACCTTTCCCGTTTTAATACATACTTTTAGAACTAAAAGTGTTTCCGCGGACGTCCACACAGACACAAAAGAAAGAAAATGGCAGCAGAGTGGGAACCTTTCTCTTTGTTCCCTCATCGGTTTCCTTTGAAAATTTGTTCCCGTGTTTCCTCCTTTTCTCCTAACAACACTTTATTAAAGGAGCTGAGTCATGAAATTTATCAAAATTCTAACAATAAGAGATACCAGCAAGTTGAGTAAAGCATAAAAATAAGAAGATATAAAAAGAAGGTATAAATATTACAGCGAATACAATGATAAACACTTGGCAGGTATATTTGTTGGACAGAAAGCTGTGATTTTGTCATTTACCAGTAATTTTTTCGCTAACGTTATAGGATAAAGCACTGTTTAGAAACATTTCTTGTTGTTGTACAAATTTGTAACGAGTGAAACAAAAGAATCTTCTGTGAAAAGGACCAATCCGCTTCTGCTTGGCACATTAATAATAATAATAATAATAATAATAATATAAGCTTATATAGCGCTGTTTCTAGAAATTCAACAGCGCTTTACAATAGTACAGTTAAAATAATAAAAGCTACCATTCAAACTAATTAGTTAAAAACTGAAACTACCAAATAAAATAACGCCTAAAAGAAATGTCTTCAACTAAGATTTAAAAACAGTCAGTGAATTGCAAGATCTTAGATCTTCTGGAAGACTGTTCCACAGTTCAGGGGCAGCACAAGAAAAGGCCCTTTGCCCGTATGTTTTAAGTTTATATTTCGGTGTTACAAGGAGAGATTTGCCCGAGGAGGGCAATGTTCTCCAAGGATTGGAACAGTATTACTCGACCAACTACTCCAGCCAGTGTTGTCTGACATGTTATGATTTCGTTAAAGGTTATGAGGGTGGCGGCTGGTACTACACCAGGGCTTACGAAGATTTCAAGAACATGTATCCTCGTATTTCCACTGGAAGCCCATTCGACCCTTGGAGAATGGTCGAAGGGGATCACCATGATAAAAGGACCGACAGTGTGAGCTGCGGGGACGAGCTGAAGCCCTTACAGCCAACGGCGGTGACCAAACTGATCGGAAGACCTTTGAAGTCAGATGATGAAGCAGAATCTATGATGGTATAAACAATCAAAATCTGCTACTTCTAAATCAAATCTTTTTTATGAACTTTACTTCCATTAACTTTACAGAGAAAAAGTTCGGGAAATCAGTTTATGCCTAAGGGCTCCGTAACTTAAAGATGATTTCCTCCAAAGAGGTTCCATGCAATCACGAATAATTCATTCTGATGTCTGTCATCGGTGATAAAATAAACAGGAGCATGAAACGTCAATTTTCGGAAAATGATTTGAAATCTAGAATTTTCGGATCCGGAACATTTGTTGTAAAATTTCTTGCTTGCCTGCCTCTCTTAGGATTTTCAAACATATCAAAAATGGTATAGTTGCCCATTTTTAACGATTTTGTACCCTAAAAAGGTCACCTAGAATTTTCCGGAGCCTTTTTTCTGGCTGAAATTTTCGAAAAGGTAAGTTTTGATCTCTATAATGTTCCGATCACTGGACTTTCAGCTAGGAAATCCGAACAGATGAAAAATTTTTAGAAGATAAAAACATGCCTATATCTACCGTTTAAAAACTAAAATACGTTCATCAATTCTATGTTTAAGTGGTTTTGAACTATATTCTCATTGGGTGCCCCCTGAAATAAATGCTAAAATGCACCTTCTCAATACTTGTGGAGTGGTCTCAGCTGAGATTACCCCCTGGGAAAAAGCGAAATAATTTCTTGAGTATTTTATTCCATCGTTTTTGTACACAGTTATATATTTAGTACAATCTTTAAGCAGAGACATCTATTTAAATAGCTAACAGCTGGTCATAAAGAGACCTGTAGAAACAGAAACCATCTAACGAATACAAAAAATTACAATCACTAAGATTACTAGCATATGTAAATTCGTTTAACCTAGCTAACTGAGGAACAAATTATTGATTAAACTTTTTTTATGGAGACAGTTAGAAGCTATAAAGGAAGTAAATTATAGAAGCAATAATAAAAAACATAACAAACATCAAACTGAGCTGAACTTGAAATAAGTTAGTGTCCAAGAAACTGTAATCTAGCAGCTACTAGTAAAGTGTTTCCTCATTGGTCGCATAAAACAATAACACGACAACACATCATCGTTTATTATTATTTCCCATTGTTTCACGGTTAGGGTACCGAACCAATTGGCTTTTAGGATTAGAAGAGCCCCAAGAAAACGCTAGGTCTCTTGCGTCCCAGTGTCATCATCACCTGGTACCTGGGGACGCTGAGTGGGAAAGACTTGTCAACATATCTCAGTTTAGACAGCAGTATTTCGTGGTTAGTATTGTATCAAAAGCTTTTCTCATATCTAGTATCGACAAGACCGCTGTCAGTTGCTTCTTATACATCGCGCTTAAGGTGGCTCGACTAAATTTTTTAGGAGCGATACCTTCCAAGTTTGAGCGCCATTAATAAGGAAACAGGACAAAAGACCACCACAACTATATCACTCAATGGTGAACTTTTTTTTTTGTGGGCAGTTTTATATTGACAGAACAGTTGTCATAGTAACGTAATGACGCCATTGCCTATGTTACTTGCTACAGTATTTCTCGAAACTAGAATTTTTTTTTGCCAAAATGATTCAAGGGTACTTGTTCCTCAAATAGCCGCCTCAATACTTGTTGCTAAAAAAAAAAGATCCAGTGGAACCTTAAATATCACGATGTCCGTAGTTGATTGCAGCTTTATGCGGTTTCCGTACAGGTTCAGAAGACAGGTGGTCCCTCGGGATAAGGTAAGCCGTGAACTCATTCGAGTTCACGGCTTATCTTATCTAAGGTGTACGAATGAGGCCACTCATTCGTGCACCGTATATAATACGGGAAATATTATAGGATGAGGCTGATTGTGATATTAAGAATTATGCAGATTGAGGAGGATAATACCTTCTGCTGCGCCTCCGTCTTGACTTACGTCAATGGCAGATAATTTTCAGTTTACAATCACCTGCGTCTGAGTGACTGACGTCAATGATTTAGCTGGCTATGAAGAATTAGCCAGGAGATTATAGCCAATCAAAAACGGAGAGATATTTTGAACGAATAATAATAGCACGTAATAGAACAACAGTCAAACCTGTATTAAGCGAAGCTCTATCTAGCTATCACCCATATCTATTACGCAGTCACCTACCGAAGTCTACCAAAGTCCCGAAAATCATTTCCCTCAGTTACTGTAAAACTGATCTGTATTAAACTACCCTGCTAGCAGGCTCACTCGTGCGAATTCGAGGAAAATTTTGGCGGCGGACGCCATTTAGCGACGAAAAATGAGCCTGAACGCGGGCAATTGATTGTTGAATTATCCCTTTTCTTCCTGGATGGCGGCTCTGCGGCCAAAATTTCCCCCGAATTCGCACAAGTGAGCCCGCTAGCAGGCTTGTATTAAGTGGTCACCTTTATTAAGCGTCGGGGTCCACTTTTCCGAGCTGCCAACGAATTATTTTTCATTGCCTTCACCTGTATTAGGCGGTCACTTCCACAACATGTACCATACCAGTGGAACAAATACAGTGTGTATGGCGTTAAGTGGTCTCTTACCTCTTACTTTGGCACAAGGAGAAGTAGAGGCACTTTGAGGTCGTTTTGTTGTGGGATAGATATTTCGCTCTTTCACCATCTTTATTTCTTTAACAACTCTTAGGTTTGTCAAACCAGTGTAGTGAGACGTCTGTAAATCATTCCTCAATGGTGATCCGCGCTTTATACAGTAGGTGTACTGTTCATGCTGTGCACTTTTAAATCAGACTCATGGTTATATAGCTTTTCACTGATTCGATTCTGGAAGCAGAAAAAGAACCCGCTAGTATCAAACATCTGCCAACATCGGTTTATATTCTTCCACTTATTCACTAAAAGCCTTCCATTTTCCTCCAGTGAGAAGCAACAATGGGAAGGTAAATAGCAAGTTAAAACAACAGCAATGTCAAACTTGAGCTCGTAAAGGCTTTATTAAACATAAACCAGTATGGTAAAAGATTAAAGAAAATACAGTACTTGCGAGGACGAAACGAAAGGTAGCCCACAGCAAAGTAAATAATAGGAATAGAGTGACTAGAATGGGCACGACTCAGGTAGCTACAGCGGCGGGTCTAATCCGCAAGTCGTAGGTCACAGGTCACAGGTCGCAGGCCACATGTCAAATATTACGAGATAACAATTTTTCAAGGTCCCTCACTGAGGACTCGCTAGCTGTACTTGGGCTATTGTAGCCCTGTCTTGGGTAATAGCTCGAAAACGCGTGGAGATCATTTACAGAAAGTTCAAAACAGAGGAGCACGCATTATTACAAAATCAGGCTTTTCTAGAAGAGCTAGGTTGACCAAAGCTTCATGATAGGAGGAAAATGCAATCGAATATCATGATATATATAAAGTTTATCATGCCGCTGTAACTGAGTGCTCAACTGAGCTTTTTCGGCTGAAGGGCATAATTGCAATCTCAGAGGTAGTAAGTTCGACATACAGTTGCCCAATAACAGTTAGGCCTTAGACTTGCAAGCCAAGTTAAAATGCTTTAAAATGCGGAAATTATCGAACTTCCATGCATACACAAATAAATTTACTCCAGAATTTGTTAACATCAGAACATTCTGAATGTCTCTCACCCAGTGAATAAACACACAATTTATTACAATTAGCACAATAGTTTATGATGTAGATACAAATGCACGATGGCAAATAGCAAGCTAAAAATAACAGTCAACTCAATAACAAGTGTTTTAGTGATCTTTTTCTCCCATTTGATCCCTTGCTTTTTCGCCAGGTTTTCTTCGGTTCTGTTATGAAGGTTGTCCCAATATTGTCTGTCTTGAGCTCGCAAGAACTTGAAAATTTTTTCGAGTTGGTGAAAATTAACACCACGAATGTCACGATGACTGCGGTGTTGGAGAAGACGAACCGAAATTTCTCGTAGCCTACTTGCGAAGGAAATCGTGGATAATAAAACAGACACGGTCCAGACACCAGCAGAAACTAATAAACTTCTTTTTGCGTTGAGTTTCGATCTGTAAAATAGAGGATATGTAATAGCGACGTAACGATCTAACGCCAGGGCGGACAGGCTCAGAAGCGAAGCAGTGCAGGATATGAAAAATGAAACATGCATCGTTTTTCTGAGAGGCTGATTAGGGATTCCAAAACCCTCGTAAAAATGCCGACAGGAGCAGTTATGAGACCAACAACAAGATCTGATTCGCCTCTTTACCAGGGCAAACTATGACCTCAATTGTAATTCTGTTTGTTCGTTTCGTTGCTCCATTCACCTCCTCAGAAAAAGTAGTAAACTACAACAGGAAGGTTATCTGCTAAAAACGATTCTGCTGAGTTGATTGTATAGGGCGCTTTGAAACTAATTGTCTCCTCGCGACAAGATTTCATCGATTGTGTTCGTGATCCACAATGATCCACAGCTGATAACAGGTTGGGCTCGTGGAACGACATTACTGCGAAAATGAAAGAACATTGTCTCCCCCTCGAATCTTCACTTAAACGTTCGCGACCTTCCCAAAATACTTAACTTTTCACAAGCAAATGAGTAACTTACCGGAAGCGTTACAGAAAATCCCCAGAAAATATTAAACTGTTCCTCGCACTCGCGTCCGACTCTACACTGCCAATCTCATACGAATGTCTAACCAAGAGGTCGCAGATTCAAGAGTGCTAAGAAACTCTTTAATAAGTTTATTGCCATTTCCTTTTTAAAACGTGTTCAGAAAGAATCATAGATTTTCACCTTTTAGCGCTCGCAAAATTCTCGGATAAAAAATTTTTTGACCGCTATTGTACTTTGCTTGAAGCTTGTATGCTGGATAGGGTGCTACGAGGCGGGGACTGGGAACTGGTAAAACAGCGAAACAAACTTTAAAACTGCCAAACAAACTACCCGACAAATCGAGCTCTCAGACGCTTTCAAGACAAAAATAGCCAGCTGCCCTGTGTGGGCCGCAACAAGGATACTTTCCAATAAGTGACATAACGATCATTGAACTCGTAGCTTTGGCTATGAGAAAAAGGTTCAATAATAAGCGAGTCTTCAAGACTTCTGAGAAGAGTGAAAATGCAGGACTATTATTCCACCTACCTACTGAGTATTGCGCGTGCACGGACAATCAAAAAAAATTATACGGCAATAAATTTGAAAACTACCCTAGCATCATTGCTATTCATGAACACTTGGGGGACATCAGTTCCCCCACTTTTTTAGTTGTTTAGCATACATGTCACGTGCTAGTTGAAAAATTAGTGTCAGACTATAATTATTCGTCGGCAGCCGCGATAGCCTAGTCCTGCTAGTCTCGATATATATAGGATCAAGAGGATATAGGTTGCTACCCTAGGACACCCATGAATTTATATAATAAAGCAAATTATAGCAACCTCGTCCCCAGGGCTTTTCCCTCAAAAAATGGGTGGCCCACCCACTTTTTAAGGTAAAAGCCCTGGGGACGAGGTTGAAATTATAGGCTTGTCAGAATCCTACCTGTACTTAACAGCTGGGTCCCTTTATCGTGCGATTCTCTCAAATTTCATAAGCTCCTATAGAGTACCACTATAGGAAGTTGTACAATTGTCAACGTTAACAGACGGATTGGAAGAATATGCTTTGTATGGGGTAACTGTAGATTTGCATATGATATTTAGTATAAATACCACTTGTGATATTTCAAAATTGTCTCAAATTTCACTCGCATAACGGCCAGTGAAATTACGTATAACAATTTCAAAATATCACTAGCGGTATTTGTACCAAATATCACTACAAATCATGCTGTTACCTATACAAACAAGGGAGAAAGAGGAAAAATAGAGGGAAGGAAGAATAGCTTAGAAAGCAGAAAAAGTGGGAAAAAAATAAAATGGGAGAGGTGGTAAATATTTATAAAACAAACTATCCGTTCCTCTCCTGGTCTGTAACCTACAGTTATCTCGTCACGCAACGCTAGTAACGCTCCTGGGAATATTAAACACCGTTGAATATTCAAAAGAACTAAATGAAATGAAGCTATTTTGAATACATTATGAAATAATAATAACAAAACCTGCTCGTGCACTGACGGCGATGAACCGCAACAATCATAGCACTAATAAACATAAGAGATTATCATTGGCACTAAGCTTGAGATATGGGCAAAAAGAAGAAGAAAACTTTGTTTTGTAATTTTCGGACGTTTTTGAATGGATATAAACTTCCAGCTGGAAATCCTTTCAGACTCAGCACAGCTTTCAACTTCATACAAAACAACAACAAAACGCTTCGAAATCTTATCGTTGCGATATCGACTTACCAACTTCAACAACTTCTTAACGCCAGAGCATTCCATTGCCCGGATAAGAATTACCAACAATATGGCTTCACTTTCTTATTTGCTCCAGTTCTTGTATTGTTCTGTTTAAACTTGCTCGTAGTTGGTGAAATCTGGAATTTTACGTCTAGAATGTTTGTGAAACGGTACATAAGACGAGGAGATATTGTTGCACGGGTTTTGCCAAGTTTACTCAAGGCTTGTGTTGGGCCAGCAGTTTGGCTGATAGTTGCATTTCGGGAAGAAGATTATTATATCTGCGCCAAACTTGGGCCATTTACACCAATACACAACCAAACAGTTTTAACTGACCGACAAATATTCGAGAGAAAAAGAAAGGTCGAGCACTGCAAAAGTGAAGCGCAAGTTCTGGCGTGGATAATATTTGGAGGCCTTGTTACTTTAGGAACGGCATTAGTAGTATGGAAGAACTGCTACTTTAAGGATAATCTTCTGATGGAAAGTAAGTGATGGATGGCAGTTAAGATAACTTTTTGTAACCAAAGCGATCACCGTTTAAGTAGTCGAGCCTTCTCTAGGAGTTGTCGAGAAAGCGTGCAAGTTTCACAAGTTGTGAGGTCAAACGAGTGGCGCAGTCTGAATTGGCAAAACAGGCTTTTATTGTCATTATAATTATAAAAACTTTACAATATTAAAAGAGATATCCTAAATGAAATACACGGTCTTCTAAAAAACTATAATCAGCTAATACAAATACTATCTGCTAAAACTACTACAAAAAGACCCTGAAGAAGGAAGGCCGTGCTTTCCGAAATATTGGTAAAAATGAATATTCCCGACTGTAAAATCAGCTTTGCTTCTTTTGCTTTATATTTTCACTTATTGCTGATTAGATCCTTTATTACGATCCGGGTCTTCTTTTTTGTAAGCTGGTCCTTGCTTCAAAAATTGAAAAAGAAAATACAGCGGCACTGGTCGCGATGGTCATTGTCAGAGTTTTTCTTCTCTTCCTTGTTGGACTGAAAATAAATAGCCTGGAATTAAGGAAGCGTTTCTTTAGGAAAATCAAAATCCAGATCTAAAACCACGCTTTGCGTTTCTTTAATCTCATCCAAAACTTGGATTTTGAATCCTAATCCGGATTTCTAGGATTCGATCCATGCGGTTCTTTAGCACAGGTCAGAACAAAACACATTGTGTGGGAAAGCGGTTTCACTGATGAGGCTCGCCACACTTAAGGATCTCATTTTCGTTTTTCGATTTCTTAGCCCGTAACGCAAAACCAAAGAATCTATTGTTGGATCCTGGCAAAGAAATATACCACTGAGATCAGAGTTGTTGTTACAGGGTAAACTAAAAAGAAATTCTTACCACTATCGTCATTTAAGTAGAACACAATAACAAGGTTTTGGACCTCAATCATCTTATCATTAATCATCTTGTTCAGATCATTACAGTTTTGAAAGAAGAGAGGCCTTAAGCGCTAAGATAGCATTCATAAAACACATTGGGGGAAAATTATGCGAAGACGCTGATATCGACGACGATCCGATGACAGCTGAATATGGTACCGAACAAGATAGAGTTACATTGTACCACAATGGGGTTCCAGAAATGATAGGAAGGAAGACAGTAGAAAAGCTATTCCAGGGTGAGTTTACAGTGAGGTTTTTGTATCCTAGCTTGTAGCAGTAGGCTGTGCTAGTAGATATAATGAGAATATGAGATGATTGTTTCTTTTTAACGGTTCTAACAATGAACAAATCCTAGCCTGCAGCGCAGCCGTATTTTGAACGGGCGAAATCTTTTTTAAGTTCGTATTGTTGTAGCCGCCATCTTTGATTTTATAACAGAGCAAGATTAAGGAGAGTAGAAATAGCAGCCCTTAGGGTCCCTTAGGGTCCCTTATGGTAGGTACCTCGACTCGCCCCATTTCCTCCTTTTTTCGGGAGTTCAACAAAAACATTCGTGCGCCCGAAGACAACGCCTGCTCTGCAGGTTAACCAAATCTTAATTCTCGTAGGTCACCCATTCTGAAACCAAAATGGCTCATTAATTATCCTGTAGTCGTGAATCACAAAAAAATAATATAGAGGCCTGTGGCTGTAGGGCAAAACCTTTTTTTATAAGTGCCTATCCGCAAATCGTGAATATCAAAAATACTCTTCATAACGCACGCGGTTGTTACTTGTGATATCTTATAAAGTTTAAACCCGCGCCTATTACTGAAAAAAAGGCCAGGAGCTTTGCCGTGGATTGAACCTGAAAAAACAAAACAAAACAAAAAACAAGAAAACAGCGAGTGGGGTCTGTTAAAGCCGACCCGGGCTCCTCGAGTTCCGTATACTTTGCGTGTTTGCTGTACTTACCAACAAGACATGAGCAATTGCCTCTATTTATCAATCGCCGAAAATCACCGACACTAATTTCACTTTTTCTTCAGGTTACAACGGAAAAAACTGGGCAGTCGGTGATAAATGGCACTATATCAAAGCTTACAAGGCTTTTAAGGAGATGTACCCTCGTATTTCTACTGGAAGTCCTCTGGATCCATGGCGCGTAGTACGGGGAGATATTGACGGCACCCAGAAAACCTACCGGTTTTTTCTTGCCTCCAACTGTTCCCGGAATTCAAACGCCGCTGACCGCGAACTTGAGCCTCTGTATACTGAGTTGGAACTTGGTGATCCGCAGGTCCATCAACAAGTAGGTTCAAGCTTCAGTCAGTTTGATCCTATTATAATAATTTTACTAGGGCTAAAATACGGTATCGCTTATCGCCGCGTTGGTGGCGTACTTATGAAGAATGTGATCGATTGAGAGAAATTTTTTTCCCTCCTGAAATATCCGCAGTTTTGACAAATCTACTATCAGGGTCTTTATGGTTTCAAATCCTGAAAATCAGCGACCAATCCCTGACAAACAGGTCGAATAGTCTTGTCCGTGGAAAAAGTGTTAATTCCCTGAGGTCTGCAAATAGCCAAAGGACCTATTAAGCTCTATTAAAGCCAGAAGATTCGCACAGTCTTTCAACTAGTTTTTCAATCGATTAGCAACAAGATCCAGAAGAAGCAGCTTAAAGTGCAACAGATAAAGCCACCCATTGAAAATCAGCATTATGTAGCTCATCTGATTTCAATGCGCGATGCAACTGTTTCGCGTTTTCCCTGAAGCACCGCCGGGCTACACTAGCGCGCAGATGTTGACCACAAGTCATTTCTGCTATTAACAGCGCTATAGTATTCGGATGAATGAATGTGAGAATATATGAAATTCGTGTAACTCATCATGAACTGCAGAACAATACTTAAACAGAGAAAGACCCTATGTAGTTATGTACACAATCCAACCTAAGCAGTTGTGATTTTTAGAGTTAGTGAACGGTATTAGAACGCATCAGTGAACCGGTAATACCACAATTGTAATATATGAGATTATAATATAGTTTCATATATTTATAAGTATATTACCAATCCCACAACGAAACTAGCTCTCAGCTGTCTCTATAACTCATTTGGTAAGCGGAGCACTGCATCGGTATTTCGAGACTTTTAGCAGGTCGAATTCTTCAAGCCAGGCCGGCTTAAAAACACAACTAGCTTAAGTTGTTTATATATCTGCAAGGATTTTCCCTGTTCAAATTCATCTATTAAAGTTATTCGTCCGTTTGTACCGTCTGCTGTTGAAGCTGTGTCTTTGTGTTGATCTGTGTACAGAATTCGTATTTTTCTTATTGTTTTTACCAGGAAAACCATAGAGAAATGAAGCAACCACAAAAAACAAAGCGAGAGGCCGGGAGGAAATGGGAAGGAGGATTTGAGACAACGAAGATTAGAGACGAGAAACATTACAAATACAACAACAACAACAATATTTAGGCATTAGAGATGTGGGGGGAGGGGGTATTTAAGTTGACTGAACTGGTACCCGTATTAGCTTTCCCGCCTCCTCATGTAGTGAACATATGGTCATGCGAGCCTCCTTTGATGGCCTGTGCATCCCTTTATCCATTTTAGGTTGTTCTTCACGTGTTTTTATCTATTTCATAAAATTCATTCTCAGTTTTATTGTTCACAAATTGTCCAGTTGTTATTCTTTCCATTTTTATCGCTTTCAGCTTGACAAAAAATGTTAGTTGTAGGATTGTAAAACATTGCTGAATACAGTGTATGTGTGAGATGACGTAAAAGATCAGGTGATTAGATGCCACGTGTATGAGTTTTTTCTGCGAGCGAAGTCGCTCCAACGATTGATATTATTGCAAGCGATGATGTTTTCTTTATTGAATATCTGTTTGGAGAAACAAATATTGCAAATATTAGAAGGAAACCGCCGTTGGGTGCCCCTGACTACATCAGTGTCTGAGTACACGGTTCTGATCAGAACTTTCTGCGCACCGTATTCCACAGCATGTTACAAATACTTTCGTGTCCGCCTCCTCGTGGTTACAATGAAACTTGCATATTTCGGGAAGAGTTTGATGAAATGAGACGCTCGCCTGAATCATTAAGAGCGCGTATTTCGTCACGTGTTCGTGTGATGTGTACTAGTCATTGCCTGATATGATAACTACTTGCTTGTCGGAAGAGAAGGAGTATCTGCTAACATGAAGAGTGAGGAACTGGTAACAACTCTTTCTTGTTCAGCCTGCACCGCCCAGAAATGACTTTCAGTTACGAGGCATCTTGACGTGTTCCGCCACATCGTTTCTTACTCCTGTCTTTCTCTTTTGACGAGTATTTTCTTTCAAGCTCTCTGGCCGGTAGTCACCCCATGCAATGTCCGTTCTTAAAGTGCTCCTTAGCGCGCCGGTAACTACTGGTATGAATACCCGGCCTTTGCATACTCATCAAACGTTGAAACGGATACCACTTGTAGTGCATGCACCAATGCGGCTCCGTCAACCACCGTGACGTCATACGATTCTGGTGGAGATGTCTCTGTTATCCCTTTGGTCAAGCATTCAATTAGGTCAAACTTCTTAGTATAACATGAATTGCCGTACTCGGACGAATACGGTGGGTACGACTGGTTCTTGTGCATAAAGAACTCACCAAGGTCTCTATCTCGCTGCTGGCTTGCGATGTAAAGACGGTTGAACAAGAAGCGGTCACTTATCATGGCTGTAAACCTCTGTGTCCCTTTGCATACCTGCTTTGCCTGTTGCCGTATGGATGTTGTGTCATGGATAGGTGCAGTTCTATTGTCGATGATGACACGTATCTCTTTCACTACCTAGCTCCGATTTCCTCGATAGTTCGAACGCTGGTTCGAACAGTGCGCACAACAGATTCATAAACACAATTGCCCGTATCTAAGGCAATCAATTCAGGACAATCTTCTAAGAAATCCCAAATCAGCGATGATTTTAACAAGATTCCTCGGTGGCGTCATTCTGGAGGGCTTTCTGTTTGGAATAATCTTGGTCGTGGTGCTTTCCTTGCTCCTTTCTTTTGTGGAGCACGGAACAGAGGTCATCTTCAAAATTCCCTAAGCAGCCCGCCACCTCTGGCCCTGCTACGATCCAAGGCCTTAGCGCCTCTGAGTTTTCGCCAAGACCAAGAATTCCAGCAAATCCTTTAAGGATGACATTGTTCTGCTCATGTACCTGGCCATCGGCCAGGGGCACCCAACGGCAATTTTCGGGAAAATATCTGTTCGGAAGACGATTTGAGAACTAGAATTTTCGGAACATTTGTTGTAAAATTTCTTGCTTGCCTGCCTCTCCTAGGATTTTCGAACATCTACAAAATGGTATAATTACCCATTTTAAACGGATATTTACCCTAAAAAAGGCCACCTAGAATTTTCGGGGGCCTTTTCCTGGCTGAAATTTTCGAAAAGGTAAGTTTTGATCCCTATAATTTTCGGATCACTAGACTTTCAGCTGGGAAATCCGAACAGATGAAAAGTTTTTAGGGGATAAAAATATGCCTATATCTACCGTTTAAACACTAAAATACGTTCAACAATGCTATGTTAAGTGGTTTTGAACTATATCCTCGTTGGGTGCCCCTGATCGGCATGCTAGAAAATCTCTTTGACCCACTTCTTGTTTCGTTGGAACAATAACATGAAAATTTTATAGCGACGGTGAGAAAATGAGAAATGCTAGCGGCCTCCAAGGTGAAAATGAGTGGCAGAGAAAAAAAGTGAACAGGAACACATACAACAAGTCCTCCGTAAAATGAGTAACTAGGACGTTTCTGGAAGTTTCACGTTGTAGCCGTGCAAAACAACGGCAAAGAAATGTACAAAACAAGTGTGCTGCACGTGGAAAGTTGTTGGTTTTTTTTTTGGCTAATAATTACAGACCTACCGACTTTTTTGGCTGTTTTTGTTGAGGATGCCTAAAGGTGGTTTTCATGCGGTCTCGGGAGACACAAATAAAAATGAGGAAATGAACAAATGCTGGTGGATAAACAAAACGATCTTATGAGCGATCTTTTGTTTACCGTCCACCAGCGTGGCGGCGATGACGTAACGTGAAAACCACCTATAAGCCAGGACTCGAGCCAGGACTCGACGCAGGACTCGACAATTTTTCGCTTTTCCGCCATTTTCACGTCCTGCAAGTCCCATGACCATTAAGAGGAGGGTTTTCGTGGCAATCATGGAAGGAAAGCACGAGTTAGGGTTAGGTTAGGGTAAGGGTTAGGGGTAGGGTTAGGGTTAGGATAGAGTAAGGAAGTTACGGGTTAGGTTGGGAGTCCTTTTTGTTGCTTTTATTTTTCTTTTGTTTATTAATTATTTTTATTCATTTATTTATTTTTGCTTACAGAATGATTAGAAAAGTCTTAACGGGAGTCCTGGCTCGAGTCCTGGCTTGAATCCTTGCTTTGATGTTAGTTTATCCCGTTGCCATCGCCGCTTGGCATTGCACGATTTTATATTTTGTTAGATTGAACTATAGATATCAACGAGAGCTTCGCTTTTAGCCCTGGCTAAATCTACATATTACCCTTACCATCGAAGTTTTCACTGAAGTATTCATTCGTTCCACGCATCAATCTTTCATAGTGAGCTTTCTTCACAAAACAAAGCATGGCGCTGTGAAACGTCGCGATTCTTATCCCCAGTTTTCACCATGACCGCCTTTTGGCATGCACACACGAAAACAAAAGAAAACAGAGACGCTTGCATTTTCTGAGCAAAGCCTAGCCTCCCACTCAGGCGTTTTTAGGGGAGCTCGTATTTCTTCCCTCCCCACAAACGCCTGCTCTACCGAAGACAACATTCCTTTCCCATGCTTAGCCAATCACATTGTACCTTCCAAATTCTGGAAAGTTGACCTTGACCGCAAGGTAATCTGATAACGACTTGATCTGCATGAAACACTGGAAAAGCTTTCTGACCTCTAATAAAGGTTAGATTCAGAGCAGCAAAAATAAGATTTAGTCAAATTTTAAAATACTCCATGCACTGCACAACCTTAGAAAAGAGGAAAAACGGTAACTCTAGGGTCACGTTTTAGTCACGATGTTTAGCCTGTCAACACTTTATTGCACAACTGTTGATTGGTCATTTACCACGCAAATAAAACAACGGGAAAGGAATGACAATGTTATACATACATACATACATACATACACACATACACATACCCATACATACATAGTCTACATACATACATACTAACTTTATTCAAGATGTAAACAAGCTTATTTACAGGAAAAACATAATATTAAAAGACATCTTGAAAAGGAAGTTGAGAGGTTAGCCCTATATTAGAACTCCCAAACAGAAATAGAAAATGCTAAATAAAAACATCAAATGCAATACAAGTATTCGGTTGAGCAGGCGTTTGTGGGAATGCAAAGCCGAGCTAAGCCTCGACCCCAGAGCTCTTCCGCTCGAGCGGAGTCAGAAGCGTAAGCACTGGGGTCGAGATTGCTATGGAGAGCTAACGAGCAACGAAAAGAGCTGATAAGGAGCTGTTATTGTAAACATGGATTGATTTTTCGACTTTCTTGGGCTCTTTTGCGATGTCATTCTGTTAAATAACCTCAACATGTTTACTCCTCGTAAATGTGGGGTTAAATTCGACCCTCCGACTCTTGTTGTCTTCTACGAAGTAAACCTAACAGGTACATTTCCTGATGAGTTTATACTTAACTGTGTAAGATATTGCAATGTTCTACTATTAGTTTGCAAAACTTTATGCTTAGTGCAGTTCATAGCAAGAAGTGATGGGACCTGCCCTCGTGAAAACGTCTCAGAGCACTTACCTCAGTTGTGTTTATACAGAAATCTTGTTGTTTCTGATAATTTGTCGGTCCGTGTAAAACGCAGACTGCGGACTATTGTTTCACCATGCAAATGAGGACGTGACAACAATAGTGCCATTGTTTTCCAACCCTAAAAACAATATTCCACAGTGTGCATTTTACACTGCCCTAATAATTTATTATTATTGCCGTCTTCTCAAGTAAAACACAGTGTACACATGATTCATTAGGGCCTATTCTCGCCTACGTTATGGCCAGTCTGCAGAGTATGGCAGGTGCACACTCGAGTTTTTTGACAATATATAAAAAATAAGGGCATAAAATCAGCCTTGCATGCTCGAGATCTCATCAAGTTCTGCCATACTCAGCAGATGGGCGCTATGGAACGTTTCATTTTATTCCAACCTCCCACCCTCTGTGGAGATAAGCAGATACTTACCACCTCACTTTTTTGTCGAAACCCTTAAAAAAAACTCTTTCCCACCTCCTCAATTTTTTTTGTTCCCTTTGAAAACAGATTCCCACCAATTAGCTGCCGAGGATACCCTTCCATAGGGGGGATCAGAATAAAAATGATTATTATTATTATTATTATTATTATTATTATTATTATTATTATTATTATTATTATTATTATTATTATTATTATTATTATTATTATTATTTTACATCATTGAAGTATTTCTCCATTTCTGATTGGCTATAATCCCTCGGCTAATTCTTCATCATAACCAGCCAGTGCTGAATTTCAAAGAAGCTTAGATTGAATCATTCACATCAGTCATTCAGATGTCAAAGATTGTCAGTTAAGCTTATTGAATGAAGCTGAGTTTGATATGGAGAATTATGCAGAATGAGGAACATGTTATCCACAGAGGCTGAAGGCTGAGCTGGAATCACAGCCCTTGAGATCTGGATAATTCTCTTCAGTATATACTAAAATGGTGGATAGTCTTTTTCGCGCGCTCTCATTTGCTGCTTAATCTTGGAATATCCTGCACTATTCACTGATTCACCTCCAGTTCCTCTGAGCGAGCAATGCCAAACTTGCCTAAGTTACGAGCCAAATTGCTTCCCGATTTGCTGCCGTAACAAACAAAAAAAATTCACAAATAATTAAACAAGCTGTTCCCGAAACACACGAAGAAGGTTACAAAATTTGGTTGGGAAGTTTTAACAGGTATATGTTTGTCTGTTTGACTTGAATTTAGCAGTGAAACTGGTGAAAAAGTTTGCGTTACTTTATTTAGCAGAATTGGTCATAAATAAGCTTAAAACTAAATTTTAATAGTTTTTTTACAGAATGGTTTTGAATACAAAGAGAATTCACAGCTCCTTTTGACAAAATTTCCCCAAAAGAGCAAAACAAATGCCTTTAAAAGTTTTATTTGTAGGCTTCGCGGCTAAGTAAATATCACCACTAGCCACCTCCACTTTGGTGAATAATTGTTATATATCATAACATGAAAGCCAAATTCAATAACATTGTTATATTATTCGCTCAAAATGTTCATATTAACATCCTTACCTCTTTGTAGACTCTCCTCAAAACATTTGCCTCTTTGATAGAAATGTGAAAGTGAATTTCAAGCCTTTTGAAAGATTGTTTTTTCAGTCAGTGACACAGGGTGCTCAGAAGAAAAAATGCCTGTTACTTGGTACTGTCCTCAAAGATACTCCTCAAAAAGCAGATGACACCCATCAAGCAATATTTCTTGTGCATTGTTGCATTTGTGCTGTTTAGTTTTAGTCATCAGCTATGTTGCCTTTTTATGGCTGTATTTTC